GACCCAGTTCAAGCCCCACAATCGACAAAAAAAAAAAAAAGTTTTATTTTAACTTAGAATGAGGAGGGAAAATGAGTGTGGAATGTAAAAAGGATAGGGGATGGGAGGGAGACCTTGCATAGATTATAATTAAAGGAAGTCATGCTTACTGAGTGCATATTTAAAGGTACACATGAAAAAGTTTAAGAACATTGACTTTCAAAAGGTATAGAGCTAATAAAAAAGGTAAAAACTGAAGTAAGCCTTATTAGTTATACTAGTGCTTTTCTATCACCAAAACATTAGTAAATACATTTAATTTCCTAAATCCAAGTATCCTTTAGAAATGAAAACTGCATATGTCTAGTAATATGACTTCCATTTAAAATGCCATATAAAATCTTAAATTGTGAATTAATCTAAATCTGAAAAGTGATTGTGCTTGTCCAATACTATGCCATCCCTTACCCTATGAAAAAGACCAAGTTATGACATGATATGGCTCTTAAAAGCTGCCTTCAGGAAACTATCAGGTTCAATATTTTATAATTAAGGCAGGTTTTTCCTTAGTTTTGCTTTGTTTCACCTAATTTAGTCATACAAAAGTCTAGAAAAACTCTTGGAAAGTGTGTGGATTATTTAACTCTTTAACTCTATACTAACTTGGTTTTGTTGCTACTGTGTTTAGTGTTTCAGCAAGGCTCCATGTGGAAGTTTTTCTTCTAGTTTCAAAATCTGGACTTTTCCACTAGGAAGGGGATGTCTCCTAGTCTTGTTTGTTACTCTGGAAGGGTGACAAGACTTGAAGTTTATGAGCATCTACTTGGCCTTCATTGGCCCATTTAACCAATACTAGTCAGTTTAACCAACATTGGTCATGCTTACCTTTATCACCTTTCTCCTTCCCCAATGCAATGACCCGCCATTCTGTGCTTAAACAAATTCCTCTGCTCAGGCCTTTGGCCCCCCACTCCCACCCAGCTATCTTCCCAGCATTCATCTCCAACATAGCTATGAATTTTACCCTTCCTTTTACTTCTTACAGATTATGTTTGATTTTTCTCACATCCCAAATTGATCTTCAGGAAACTATGCTGTTCCTCCGGCTATGGGATTTGGGGGGGTGGGGGGGTGGAGGGAGGGAATGATGACTCATGTCTGATCTACTAGGAACTGTTTCTCAACGAGTTGAGAGCAGTATAATTGGAACCTCTAACAAGGACTTTCAAAGTAAGTTGATTTGTTAGCCAGGTTCCAGCGGCTCAGGCCTGGAATCCTAGCTACTCAGGAGGCTGAGACTTGAGGATGGCTGTAAAGCCAGCCACATCCACGACAGGAAAGGAAAGTCCATGAGACTCTTATCTCCAGTTAACCAGCAAAAAGGTAGAAGTGGTAGAGCGCTCGCCATCCATTAATGAAAAAGCTAAGGGACAGAGCCCAGCCAACTTCAAACTGGGCTTAAATTTAATTTCGTATACGGAGACCATTACCTGCATACAGCCTCTAGAACAAGGCTATCTAGAATTGTACACCAGATCTTCTTATCTCCAACAAAAAGTCAGAAATGGGGTGTAGCTGAGGGTCAGTGAGTGAGCACTCAGTACCCTACTGTTTGCAATAGAACTTTCTAGCTTTCTCATCTGTTACTACTCCTGATTTTTCACTATAATCTTCACAGCGTAAGCCAAGAGATAGTTCCACTGTAAAGACAGGGCGGGGGCGGGGGAGGGGGCAAGAAATGTTAAAAGATGGGATGATTTGCCAGAGTCATAGAGCTGGAGAATAGCAGAGCCGGCACTCAGATCCTTAACCTCAAGACTATTCATCTCTCACCTCTGGGAAGGGGGAAATGACTTCTGTAGTCCAATTCATAAGATTTTATTTGTCAATATTTATCCTAGGTGATGAAAGATATTTGAAAGCAGCTAAAGGATCTTTGAGTAAGTATCCCATATTTATAACTTCATTCTTTTTTATTTTCTGTAAAGTACCTACTATGGGGACAGGGAGGCTTGAAGAGGGTGGTGAAGAACATGGAAGGAAAGATTAAAAAAAAAAACAAAAACACTTGTTCCTTTACTACTATTTTCTTTTTTACCAGTGAGGAACTTGAGCCTGGTTGGTACTAAGACTTTTGTTTAGCAATGTGAAAACTCTGTTACTAAACAAATTCTCTAGAATATGTAAGAAAAATGCTGAGGTTGGGTGAGATGGTTTAGCATTTTAAAAACAAAGCTTGTAGAAAGATTTAGTAGAAGGAAGACAGTGACAATTGAAATCAAGAAGAAATAATTACAGAAAATGGAGGTGTGGCTCAGATGGCAGAGTGCCAGTTTTGAGCAAAAAGCAAAATGAAAGTGAGAGACCCTGAATTCAAGCCTCACTACCACCCCCCCAAAAAAAAAAAAGAAAAAAAATGATGGGGGCTGGGAAGGTGGCTCAGTGGTAGAGCGCTTGCCTTGCATGCCTGAGGCCCTGGGTTCGATTCCCAGCACCACATAAGCAAAAAGAAAAAACCGGAAGTGGCGCTGTGGCTCAAGTGGTAGAGCGCTAGCCTTGAGCTGAAGAGCTGAGGGACAGCACCCAGGCCCAGAGTTCAGGCCCCATGACCGGACCCAAAAAAAAAGAAAAAAAATGATTATAGAGTATAATCGTATCCAGCTCTTAAACAGCCTTCCTCTCACTGCCTTTCTTTGTAAATTTAACAGGTAGTACATGCTTGATCTGAAACTTTTGAATAGATGTCTTATGTCATACTCTCTCCAAACTTGACTTTTTTTATGTTTGAATTTTAGCTGGCACTCCAGGAACCATCAGTAAGTTATTTTTTCTTGTTAGTCATCCATTTGATTTACTACATGGTTAGACTAAGTGAGACATGTTATATTTCTCTTGATGTCTTTTCTTTCCTTCTGCACAAACTGTCCATTCTGTCCCCCTTTTCATCCTCTGTGGGAAAGTATTATCATCTACAGTGTTGACAATGTTTTCAGATTAAATGGCCAAAGAAAAGGGTCAGGAACAGAGGGGTCAAGTATTAAATAAGAAAATCCCCTGTCTGAGGTGTTCTAGTCATATCCATCAAAAGTGGCAGCCATTCCACTCAAGACTTACCTAGAGTGTTTATGAGCTGGGCCACTGGTGGCTCACATCTATAATCCTAGCTACTCAGGAGGCTGAGATCTAAGGATTATGGTTCGAAGCCAGCCTAGGCAGGAAAGTCCATGACACTTTTATCTCCAATTAACCATCAAAAAGCCAGAGGTAGAGCTGTGGCTGAAGTGGTAGAGTGCTAGCTTTGAGCATAAAAGCTCAGGGGACAGGGGCTGGGAAGTTGGCCCAGTGGTAGAGCTCTTGCCTTGCATGCCTGAGGCCCTGGGTTCGATTCCTCAGCACCACATAAGCAAAAAGAAAAAAGCCAGAAGTGGTGCTGTGGCTCAAGTGGTAGAGCGCTAGCCTTGAGCTGAAGAGCTGAGGGACAGCGCCCAGGCCCAGAGTTCAGGCCCCACGACTGGACCAAAAAAAAAAAAAGCTCAGGGGACAGCACCTAGGACCAGAGTTCAAGCCCCAGGATTGGCATACACACACACAAAGAGTGTGTCTGTATAATGCAATAAGATCCAGTGTGAAGACTGAAGGTCCCCAAGCTGTCACTGATGGTGATCTGACCTGCTATGACCAAAACAAAAGTCTAGAAGTTTCCAGGGAGAATTTGAAGTGATGTTATAACAAATATCTCTGGCAGAAGAACTGGGAGCAAGTAGAGAGGAAGGGGTATATGAGAGGTAGCTGATTTGGAAAAGGAGGGGGAAAGGGTAAATGGAAGCAATGACATATAACAGATGTGATGTATTAGATTTTATCAACCCTTTATCACCTTACTGCTCAGAGTAGTCCCAGGGCCTGCAGTCTTCGGGTTTGTTAGAGATGCAGAATCTCAGCCTGCTAATTACTCTGACCTAAACATACCCCATTTTTAAATGAAAATCCTCATGGCATTTGTGCTCACGTTATAATCTGAATGTTGTTGCTCTGCAGGATTTCAATCTTCTGTCCTTGGGAAGTAGCCAGTTAGTATACTTGGCCCACATCTAACCAGCTTTCCTGTTCCTACACAGAGTAGTTGACTTAAAGAAGTGACAAGAAAGAGAAAAGTCACCAGGATTTAACTCATTTCTTAGCACTCCTGAGGATGATTAGACCTTGAACTCTTGAGACAGAGCCAACCCTAAAGGAGAGAAAAGAAGTTTGAGGATTGGAACTCATGAGGCATCATACCCTGAGAAGACTGATGGACACACATGCGGGCCTCGTGTCCTGAGGCCTTTACTGACTCAAGTTCCCTGTGAATGCCATGAATCTCTGCAGAGTTTCTATTTCCTCTTATACTAAGATAAGACAGGCCAAGTTGCTGGGAAGGTGGCTCAGTGGTAGAGCGCTTGCCTTGCATGCTCAAGGCCCTGGGTTCGATTCCTTAGCACCACATAAGCAGAAAGAAAAAAAAAAAGCTGGAAGTGGCGCTGTGGCTCAAGTGGTAGAGCGCTAGCCTTGAGCTGAAGAGCTGAGGGACAGCACCCAGGCCCAGAGTTCAGGCCCCATGACCGGACCAAAAAAAAAAAGACAGGCCAAGTTACTCTATTGAATTAGAAGCCAAATACCACAAACACAATAATTCCACTGCTTTCTTTGAAAGACAAGACTGGGTTCTAGCTAAGCAAGTTCAAATGAACCCTGCCAATGGGTGCTTTTGCAGGCTGTGGCTGAGCAACCTCATAGCTGCAAACAGTTCACCCCACAGAGAAGGACCACTTCATCCCTACACTCACATTGTCAGAGTCTTGGGGCCCCCAAGATGAGGAATAGGCATTTATAAACTTCATTGCCTAACTATCCAAGGTGGAAACTTGTTCCCGGTTTCTTCATTTCTGATGTTTTCCCAGAAAGAATTTTGATGCAAACTGTATTTTCCTATGCCAAGACCTAATTAGTTCTGTTTTGATTTTTCCATCTTTCAGCTGGAGCTATTGGACCTATAAGTGAGTTCCTTTTGGTTTCTTGATTCTTTCTTTTTTACTTCATAAAATGTAATACATTACTATGTAAAAATTTTTAAATGTTAAGGCAAAGTTTATTTTACTCCCATTTGGTAAAGATAATGAGAAGTACTTGGTTCTTCTGCAAAGACATTCAGGAACAACAATAGAAAGTCCTCATAATTCATACATCCTTGGCTTTCTATGGGGCCTAGGACCCTGTTGGCCTCTGTTTCCATTCCTATACCCCTAGGACTGTCCACTCGAGTTCACTCAAATTGAATGCAATCAAATTGCACTCCATTGATTGCATTCAAGTCTCCTGAATTTCCCAACGACACGAGACAAAAGGCCCAGAATTATCAATGATTTCAGAAAAGGGAAAGCCAAATAGCTATATTTAAATTTTGTGTTTTCTTTCTATATTTTTCTTTTGCTTTTTTTTTCATTTACTGAAATCTCTCAGTTAAGCTGGATACTGAATGGAATCATCTCGACCTGATCTGTTGGGAAGGTCATGAGATTCCCCAAAAACATTATCTGCAGTCTTGCATGAGCATTCTCCCTCTGCTTCAAAGTTTCTTAAGAAAAATGTGATAGGGCTGGGAAGGTGGCTCAGTGGTAGAGCGCTTGCCTTGCATGCTTGAAGCCCTGGGTTCGATTCCTCAGCACCACCACATAAGCAAAAAGAAAAAAGCCGGAAGTGGTGCTATGGCTCAAGTGGTAGAGCGCTAGCCTTGAGCTGAAGAGCTGAGGGACAGCACCCAGGCCCAGAGTTCAGGCCCCACGACCAGACCCAAAAAAAAAAAAAAGAAAGAAAAATGTGATATAGTGCTCGTTTCAACAGCACATATACTAAAATTAGAATGATACAGAGATTAGCAATGGCCCCTGCGCAAGGATGACACACAAATTCATGAAGCGTTCCATATTTTTGAGATCCATTGCAACAATGAGATGTACAAGATGTTATATCAAAAAATGAACTTTACAACTTTGGCGGAGGGAGGGAGATGGGAAGGGATGGGCAGGGGAAACAAAGGAGGAGGCAGCAATGCTTGATAAGAAGTGCATTCATTGGGGGGGAGGGGGGGTATGATTGGGTGGGAGGGAGGGGGGAGGCTGGGAAGGGAGGTGAAGGGTAAACAAAGGAGGAGGCTGCAATGCTTGGTAAGAAATGTATGCATTATCCTGCCCATGTAATTGTAACCCCTCTGTACAGTATGTTCTCAAATAAAATTAAATAAAATTAAAAAAAAAAAAAAAAAAGAAGTGCATTCATTACCTTGCCCGTGTAATTGTAACCCCTCTGTAGGGTATTTTCACAATTTAAAAAAATGTGATATATATATATATATTCACTCCCATCAGGAAGAACAAAATTATGACTTTCACAGGAAAATATGAATGGAACTGGGAAAAATTTGTTAAGTGAAGTAAGGCTCAGAGAGACAAAGCCATGAATATTTTCTCTTATATGTGGAAGTCAGATCTGTATTATAAACATATACAGGACTCTGCACATACATACATAAACTAAAGTATGGTATATAATACTCAATGTATATATGTGAACATATGAACCAGGTAACTTGAGGGGATGGGTGGGGTTGGAAGAGAATGGGGGAAAATGATAGAAGAGGTAACCTTGATCAAGATGCGTTGAACTCATAAACTGACATGTTGAATTGAAACCCCCTTATACAACTACTTAAAGACAATTTATAAGAAATGTTTTCTTTAGGAAAAAAAATATTGGTGGTTTGAGAACTCAGTTAATGTCACACTGATTTTCCCCCTTTTTATATTTCAGTGCAATTCTCAGCACCCATCCGTAAGTATCAAGTTGGATTCTTCTCTACTCTGGTCCCTCTGATGACTGATCGTGTGTGTGTGTGTGTGTGTGTGTGTGTGTGTGTGTGTGTGTGTGTGTATGTGTGTGTGATTAATATGGAATAAATTTTTCTCAATCCTTCAAAGGATTTTAATCATCACTAAAAACAAAAGGAAGCCTCTATTCTTTTAGATCCTATGTATTGACAATAGGAAGCCTACCTAAGGCTTTCCATAAAAGCAACTCTTTTTTTGGGGGGGGGGGGAAGGAGGGGGGTTTGGTCGTGGGGCCTGAACTCTGGGCCTGGGCGCTGTCCCTCAGTTCTTCAGCTCAAGGCTAGCACTCTACCACTTGAGCCACAGCGCCACTTCCAGCTTTTTTCTTTTTTTGCTTATGTGGTGCTGAGGAATCGAACCCAAGGCCTCATGCATGGAAGGCAAGGAGGGGGGTTTGGTCGTGGGGCCTGAACTCTGGGCCTGGGCGCTGTCCCTTAGTTCTTCAGCTCAAGGCTAGCACTCTACCACTTGAGCCACAGCGCCACTTCCAGCTTTTTTCTTTTTTTGCTTATGTGGTGCTGAGGAATCGAACCCAAGGCCTCATGCATGGAAGGCAAGGAGGGGGGTTTGGTCGTGGGGCCTGAACTCTGGGCCTGGGCGCTGTCCCTTAGTTCTTCAGCTCAAGGCTAGCACTCTACCACTTGAGCCACAGCGCCACTTCCAGCTTTTTTCTTTTTTTGCTTATGTGGTGCTGAGGAATCGAACCCAAGGCCTCATGCATGGAAGGCAAGCGCTCTACCACTGAGCCACCTTCCCAGCCCCATAAAAGCAACTCTTGATCTTCATTTATGACAACCCCTTTCGAATGTGTACTAGATAAAAAACATTTCCTTCACAGTGATTCATAATGTTGATATAATGACATCCTCTCTCTCTGTCTCCCACTCCCTCTCTCTCTCAGCTGGATCTACAGGACCAATCAGTAAGTTTGCTGTCTGATTCTACATTATAGAGACTTTGTTTCCTGAAATATCCTCCCTAAGACACTATGGGAAAATTTTTTTCCTGGTTTCCACGGGATTTCAAAGGTTTGGAGTTCACATTTTCTTGGCCTTTTGGAGTTTCTTCTACCCAATATGTGATTAATAAGTAAGTCATTGATAAGTCTTGGACATACATCTTTGATAAACACCATCCATACTGTGAGGTAGCCCCTTGGAGAAGGCCTCCAGTGGCTTGCTAACAGCACATAAGGACTTCTCAAAACAGAGTGAGGTGGAAAAAAGTAAAGGAGAGAGGAAGAAAGTAGTTTAAATGAGGAATGATTTTTCTAATCTTCTACAAGGACTAAATGGACCAAAGAGTTAAGTCCTACTTAGTGTAGCTGCAACCTGCTGCTCGCTCAGTGGATCCATTGAATAAGAAAGGCCCTTCTAAGCTTTACCTTTCCACAGTATTTCCAACAACAATAAAAAAATCAATTACCCAGCTGCAGCTGATCTCAATTAGTGGTGCATATTCTTACTAAGGAAAGCATACAAATAGGAGCTGTGGTCTCCAAAGTTGGAAGTCATCTACTAATTTCTTTTACTTTTTAAATTTTCTTTGCTTCTTTTTCCAGAGCTCTCGCAAAAGACCATTGGTAAGTCATACTAGTCTCAATCATAATGCTTTTTTGTCCTTGACAATGTAAGTCCATTGTTATTTCAATTATTTACACCTACAGATCAAAGGGCTCATGATCCTTCCCAGAACTCCCCTAGACTGGGTTCAGCCAGGTTCTAATATATATTTTAGTTTCATAGCTTATAAATATAATTTATTTACATATGTTTATATTTTAATATTTTTATTTATATAGTTACTTACATATGTGATATATATATATATATATATACATACATATATATATATATATATATATATATTATGTGGCTGAAATACAGGGGGAAAATAAACCCATAGAAATTGTCCTTCCTCACCCATTTAAGTGTACCATTCCATGATTTTGAGCCAATATGTAACAAAGACTTAAAATACAGCACGTAAATATCTTGCTTTTCATGCAGGTTTTTTTTTTCACTATTAGATTATCTTCACTTTGTAAAGCAGTGCATTTTAAGTTTCTTTTCACTTCTAATTTCTCTGAAAGGTTCTCTCCAAGTCTCATCAACTTTTAATACCTTTCCCTATTACATTTTCCCATGGAAACAGTATCAATAATTGGTTCCAAGACACAAGAATTCATAATTATGTGTTTATAAACCAAGACCTCTCCTTGTCAAAGAGTTTGTTTCACATACTTTGTTATATTATTTCTTGCAAACATTAAGACATTAAAATTATAAAACTAAGGAAATATCACTTGAGTTTCTTCTATGTTCATGTAATAGATAAATATGAATCAAACATTTGTCACATTTTTGGAACTAATTCTCAACATACCTTACAAGTACTCATTTCAGGAGCTGGGCACCATTGCCTCCCACTTGAAATCCTTGCTACTCAGGAGGCTGAGTTCTAGAGAAGATCAGTTCCAAGCCAGAAATGTTCACTAGACTCCATCTCTAACCAGCAAAAATCAGGGATGGGGGTGTGGCCCAAGCAGTAGAACACAAGCCAAGCAACCAAGTTGAGCAAGTCTGAGGCTCTAAGTTCAATCCCTAAAACTCACAAAAATACCCATTTGTGCATTATTTTGTTGAATTTATACGCTATTCCAATAATTATGGGTCAGGCGGATATTATAACCACATTGAGAGTTGTCAATAATGATATTTTACTGGCTGTTCTTTCCACTATCATTTTTTTAGTGTGATATAGTGTGTTATTGACAGTGAATAAAATGAACTTCCAGTGCTGGAATTCAAGAGGGAAAAGAGCCTAAAGAAAGAGAAAGTGAAAAAAATCAACAATGAATGCAAAAAGTAGGAGTCAGACAAAATATTAGGGAAAGAGGAAAAATAGGAAGAAATAAATGTGAACAAAAGAAGAAAGATCAAATTCATTGGCAGATAGGAGAAGAGAATAAATGAGTACCAATAAAGCTGAGAAAGGGAAGAAAGGCAGATGTACAACAAGTCACAGATTAAGAATAGAAAGGGGGGCGCTGGGAAAGTGGCTCAGTGGTAGAGCGCTTGCCTTCCATGCATGAGGCCCTGGGTTCAATCCCTCAGCACCACATAAGCAAAAAAAAAAAAAGCCAAAAGTGGCGCTGTGGCTCAAGTGGTAGAGCGCTAGCCTTGAGCTGAAGAGCTGAGGGACAGCGCCCAGGCCCAGAGTTCAGGCCCCATGACCGGACCCAAAAAAAAAAAAAAAAAAGAATGGAAAGGAGGAAGAAATATAGGAAGAAACAATAAAATTTAAAGCATCTATCCAAGGATTTACTGATATTGAGAGGTAAGTATCCTAACAGTTCTGCTTCAGAATCAAAGGCACACATTAATAATATTAATAGATAAAAATAGAATCAAATATTAAATTACTTTACAGAACAGTTAAAATTGTAGCTTGTCTACTGTTCATAGACTAATATATCCAAATCTAGAAAAGCAAATCAAAATCTTCTAGCTATTTTGCACAGAAAATTATAAAAAACAAAAAAAAAAAGAATTTGAAAAGTAACGATTGGAGGCTTATGTGTATGATCCAAAGTATTTTCCATCATGAGCACCATAAAATGAGTACCTGTGGAAAAGAAAGACATTGTACTGCCTACTGGTAGGGGAGGGGTAGAGAATCTTTTTAGATTAACCTGTTTAGAGCAACAGAATTATCACAGCCCTCATCTAGCATTCAGTAGTAGGATCTAACACAGGAGGGAGCCATTGTCCCAGAAGAGCCACATTTTCTGTGTGTGTGCCTGTAACACTCAGGTATAGGTGTGTCCACAGGTAGACACTGAGGGCTATTTTCTTTGGCCTCCCAACAAGCAAATGTTGAGAGAACAATGGGAAGGAAATAAAAATGAGCAAAAAGAGAATTGGAGGACAGATAAAAGAAGAAGGGAGAACCCTGGTTTAGAACACCCCACCCCAGGTCCCTCAAAAACCAAGATATCCTATGACATTCCCACCGCATTTGGGGAAGTGATGGCTTCTTAATGGATATTTAGAGTTCTCCAAATTGAGGCAGTTTCTAATCAAAGGTCATTCGTACGCTTAGAAGTAACCTGAGTTTTTCATCATTATCAGCTCACTATAAGATCAGAGTTAGAATATCAGCTAAAGGCCCAATGCACATTAAAAACCATAGAGTTTGCTGGGCAATGTAGCTCACACCTGACATCCTAACTACTCAGGAGGGTGAGATCTAAGGATTGCAGCTTAAAGCCAGCCTGAGCAGGAAAGACCAGGAGACTCTTATCTCCAATTAATCACCAAAAAAAAAACAAAGTGGCGCTGTGACTCAAAGTATTGGAGTGCTAGCTTTGAGCAAAAGAACTCAGGGACAGCACTTAGGCCCTGAGTTCAAGCCCCACAATGGGGAAAAAAATTTAATTTTAAACCACAAAGATTTTGTTGCCCTATTGCTTAGAGACCTCTCCTTTAGTCCCCCATATGTGAATCTGTGAGAAGGAACAACCTGGTTCCTTACCTTCTACACTCATGCCTAGGCCTAAACATAGAGATGGTAAGAAATACTGAGTACAAGGATCATCCCTTAAGAAGGCAGTATCTTCCACTGCTACTGACGGGAAGGGAAAGTAGATTCATCTTCCTCTAATGTCTCCTACAGTGACAAGAGTCCTTCAGAAACCTCTGTCCTCAGGCTGGAATATGGCAGCCTTCTGCTCTAACTTAGATTTAGTTTGTTCTCTCTCATGATCTCATAACTGATTTCACTTCCTCTCTGCCTCCCTAAGCCCCACCTCTAGGATAGAATTAATTAAAACCAGAATATAAACTTTTCTGCTAAGTAACCATACTAATGTGTTAATTTGGATTTCTTTTTAGTGCAAACTCCAGGACCTATTGGTAAGTTGCTATAAATACATACACGTACACATACATATGTGTGTATACAAACTCATTTCTTCCTACTATGTCTGAAGGACTTGGGCTCCTTCAGAGCTAAATGTTTACATTTCTCCTTTAAAGGAAATGAAAATCATGATTCTCAGACTTCATTTCCACCCACTCTTGCCATCTCCATAATCAATCATAGTTTAGAAAATGGATATCACATAGCCTTAAAATTCCTAATAAGTAGCATACCATTTTCTCTAATAATGATTGAAAGGCTGTAACAATAACAATTAGCTAGCTTTCAAAGCAAAGATGTCATTAAAAGAATCTGAGGAGCCGGGCCCCAGTGGTTCACACCTGTAATCGTAGCTACTCAGGGGGCTGAGATTTGAGGACTGCAGTTCAAAGCCAGCCAGGACAGGAAAGTCTGTGATACTCTTATCTCCAATTAACCACCAGAAAACCAGAAGTAACACTGTGGCTCAAGTGGCAGAGTGCTCGCCTTGAGCTGAAGAGCTCAGGGACAGCAACCAGGCCCAGATTTCAAGCCCCATGACTGACAAAAAAAAAAAATCTGAGGAGTATAATGAATGAGTAAGAAGACAAAATTGACAGGATTGAGAGACCAGACGCAAGAGTGATATGACGGGAAAGGATGGAGGATGGGGAAAGGAATCCTATTAAGAATTTCATCTCTGTGGTTAGACACCAATATCTTACACCTGTAATCCAAACTGCTCAGGAGGCTGAGATCTGAGGATCACAGTTTGAAGGCAGCCTGGGTAGGAAAAAGTCCTTGAGACTCTTCAATTAACCACCTAACAACCAGAAGTAGAGCTGTGGCTCAAAGTGGTAGAGCGCTAACCTTGAGCTGAAAAATCAGCTCAGGGACAGCACCCAGGCCCTGAGTTCCAGACCCATGACTGACAAAAATCAAAAAGAAAAGAAAGGCAAGAATGAAGTGGTTATACTTCCTTCTAACTTAAACAGTAATCAGTCTCCTAGAGGAAGTTCTGGTTCTTATGAAGAGGCTGTATACAGCAGAGTATAGTATTAAAAATCGTTATCCTGTATACTCTAAATTTTTATTTATTTATTTTGTTGGTTGTAGAGCTTGAACTCAGGGCCTGGGTGTTGTCCCTGAGCTCATTTGCTCAAGGCTTAGAACTCTACCATTTTGAGCCAAAGTTCCACTTCCAGTTTTTTTGAGTGGTTAATTGTAGATAAGAGTCTCACGGAGACCTTCATGCCTGTGCTGGCTTTGAACTGCAATCCTCATATCTGTCTCCTGAGAACTAGGATTACAGGTATGAGTCAGGCACCTCTGAATAATACTTAGATTTTAAAATCCCTACAAATGCCAGTTTTACTGCTGTCTTTGAAAAACATCAATGGGATATTTATATTCAACAATCACAATTATTATTTTCTATTTTAGTGCAATATACTGGACGTAGTGGTAAGTCCCTCATCTGTTTGTTTGTTTGTTTTTTGGTCTCTTTTGTTTCTTGATCTTCTATTCCCTGTCCCAGTCTCTCTCCTGCCGTAAGAGCAGTAGTGTTAGGCATGTTTTCACACTTCCCAGTTTACTTGCTGAGAACCCTTCAGAGTAGTTGTTTTCATACTAAAAAAAAAAAAAAAAAAAAAAAAGTCTGGGTTTTTTTAAAATTACCTTTAAGTAGCTGTACAAAGGATTTGCTATTTAACAAAGCAGTTTATGAACATACTGCATATTGATCAATGTCACCCCTTTTGAAAAAGTATTCAAAAATACCCCCCCCTAGGTATAACTGTTTCTAAAATACAGTTTTTCTAGAGCACCAGGAGAAGAATAGTAGGGAAGTTTTCTAGTTGTGAATTATTTTGTAGCTTCCACGAAGGGCTTACTCAGAGATACTGGGAGCCAATGTAGGGGAAAATGACTAAAGGAAATCAAACTTTAAAAATAAATTTAAAAGGGGGAAATACAATAAAATTGAAACAAACTAAGGTCTTGCAAGTATTCTGAGGCAAGTTTGCCAGAGAAAACTGCAGGGCTAGTTTCCCTGAATTCCCAGTCTTCTCCTCTAAGACCTTTCTGTTTTCTCCAGTCCCAGATATCACCCACTTGGCCCTGCCCCTCATAGAAAGAGGAAAAGAACATTTCAAGAAACAGGATCTGAAAGTAGCTGGGCCACAGTCATAAGCATTAGCAGGAGCATCAGCCAGTCACAAACCACCTGTGAGGGAAAAAAATAAAGAAACAGCTCATGTGATTAGCTGGGGATGAGGAGGAACAATATTAAAATCTAGTTTGTGGCTGCGTAGGTGCCAGTGATTCACACTTGTCATCCTAGGCTGAGATCTGAGGATTGCAGTTCAAAGCCAGCCCAGGCAGCAAAGTCTGTGAGACTCTTATCTCCAATGAGCCACAAAAAGGCAGTAGTAGAGCTTTAGCTCAAGTGGTAGAGCTCTTTTTCAAGGCCCAGTACCAGAAGACAGAGACAGAGAAGAGCAGGTAGAGAGAGGACAGATAGAAAGAGAAAGAGGGTGGGGGGAAGAAATCTTACTTTATAGCCACTCTTCTATCCTGGACCAACAGAAACAGGCCTAGGGCTGCACAGGGCTGCGCTGAGCCACAGTGAGGCAGGTTGTAGAACCCCTTGTGCCCTCTCTGAGGTCATTCTTTTTTTTTTTTTTAATTTTTTTGGGGTCCGGTCGTGGGGCCTGAACTCTGGGCCTGAGCTCTGTCCCTCAGCTCTTCAGCTCAAGGCTAGCGCTCTACCACTTGAGCCACAGCCCCACTTCCGGCTTTTCTTTTCTGCTTATGTGGTGCTGAGGAATCGAACCCAGGGCCTCAGGTATGCAAGGCAAGCGCTCTACCACTGAGCCACCTTCCCAGCCCCTCTGAGGTCATTCTTAAGCTAATCAATCATGGGATAACAGAGATCTCTTGGTTCTCCACATGCTGATTGCTCCTCTTTTCCCTTTTGTTTTCCTACCAGTTGATTCTTCAGACACAACCTGTAAGTTTCATGCCTGTTTTTATATGAGGACTGCCCCTGTGGTCATAGTATTTGGACATCTTTCTACTCTGGGCTTGATTCCATCTGTGGGTGGAGAAACCTGTGGTCCTCCTCTAGCTCTTTGACTCCTTGCACTGTCTTGTTGGTGCCTGTTCCCCTCAGGAAAAGAACGAATGGAGGGAAAATACACACCTCAATATCAACCCGAGTACAGAGATCAGAGGAAATAAAGTTGACAGTAACTTATCAACAGGGTGGGACAATTGTATCAGTGGAGGAAAACCTACACAGGTTGGCTGGAACAGGGAGAAAGAAAGGGAAGGAAGAGCAATGGAAAGAAAATATCCCCAGTCCCGCAGGATGTCAAGCCACTATCAGGCATTGCAAAAAGGGAAAAAATAAGTCATCTCCTGGAAGGTTAAATGCAGAATTTCCCAAGGTGTGATGGTAGATGGGTGTGATGGTAGATGTACAAAACTCTAAAGCCCTTCCATTCAAGATGAGGATCCATTGCTATTTCTAGTATTCCCTCCTAGAAGAATAGTGGGAAAACTAGTTCCTCTTCCATTAGCCTCTTCACAGTCATTTCTTTTTGTTTTTCAGCTCCAGGAAACTCTTGTAAGTTTGTTTCCATTTGTGATGGAATAAAATGTTCTTCCCTAGTACCTAACAAATCTTAAACCAAAATGTTAGGATGCAATAGCTTAAAATTCTGATTTTCTTGATTCTCTATTTCCCCAGAACTCTTATAGGTTATTAACAATCTTCTAGAACATTTAAAGAGAAATTTAAAGAGGGGGGGGGAAGAAAACAAAAGAAATTTCCCCCCATGGTTCTAATGATTATAAATTAGGAGACATCTATACAGAAAGAAAGAATTAGGGCTGGGAAGGTGGCTCAGTGGTAGAGTCCTTGCCTTGCATGCATGAGGCCCTGGGTTCAATTCCTCAGCACCACGTAAGCAGAAAAAAAGCCAGAAGTGGCTCTGTGGCTCAAGTGGTAGGGTGCTAGCCTTAAGCTGAAAAGCTCGGGGATAGCGCCCAAGCCCAGAGGTCAGGCCCCATGACTGACAAAAAAGACAAGAAAAGAAAACAGAATTAAAGGAAATGATACAGATATTTCTGTTTTCTAGCTAGATCAGCTATACAAATAACAAGTTCTCTGCTATACACTCAGCAAAATCCAGGGATGATTATGAGAACTTATGTTCTAATAAAGAAACTTGAAACTCTTCATTTCCTTAGCTTTTTACATTACTTTTTAAAAATTTAAGAAACAATAAGGAATTTCTCTGCTTTCTTTTCAGATGGCTCACCTCCTCGTGTCAGTAAGTCTGTGTTGGTTTCCTTCTCTCACACAGGACTTTGTGGACCTCTGCTGGGGTCCAAAAGCCTGTCCACAAGGCATGCATAGGGCTGGAGGCATATGCTGGCCTCAGGCTATCTCATTATAAACCCCTGAAGATTCTAAATTATGTACTAGAAAGGTTTAACTAGGTTAATTCAAAAAGAGATGAAGAGCGGAGAAAAAGAATTGCACAGTTCTTTTTTTTTTTTTTTTTGGGTCCAGTCGTGGGGCCTGAACTCTGGGCCTGGGTGCTGTCCCTCAGCTCTTCAGCTCAAGGCTAGCACTCTACCACTTGAGCTACAGCTCCACTTCCAGCTTTTTTTTCTTTTTGCATATGTGGTGCTGAGGAATCGAACCCAGGGCCTCATGCATGCAAGGCAAGCGCTCTACCACTTAGCCACCTTCCCAGCCCCTAAATAAAACCTTTTTTTTTTTTTTCCGGTTGGTCGTGGGGCTTGAACTCTGGGCCTGGGCGCTGTCCCTGGGCTCTTCAGCTCAAGGCTATCACTCTACCACTTGAGCTACAGCGCCACTTCCAGAATTGCACAGTTCTAAGTCCTCAGTTAATAACAAATACTGTGTACAGAAAAGGAAAAAAAATGATGGGAGGGCAAACAAGACATGATTGTGTAACTGTTTATCATTTAGACCTCCTAGCCTACTTGGTCAGGAAAAATTTCCTGACCACCTATGGGTTTGAAGGCACAAAGTTTCTACTTTAATAATCTATGGGGAAAAAAGTAAACTATTTATTTACATAATAATAAAGAGTAAGCCAGGGGCTAGTGGTTCCACACCTGTCATTCTAGCTATTCAGGATCGGAGGATTATGGTTCAAAACCAACCAGGTTAGACATAGCCAAGAGACTTATCTCCGATTAACCACTAAAAAGCCAGCAGTGGAGATGAGGCTCAAATGGTCAAGCATTAGCTTTGAGCAAAAAAGCCAAGTAAGAGCATGAGGTTCTGAGTTCAAGCCCCAGTACTAGTATACAAACAATAGTAATAACAATAAGAAGAGTAGAGAGGAAAGTTTCTCAGTAGTTTACAGTAACATATTACAAGGGAATTGACAATGTCAAAAAACAAACTGAACTAAGATAACAGTTTTCTCTGTTCTCCTTACCAGGTAGACCAATTTCACTTGCCATCAGTAAGTCCACATTTCTGACACCATGGGGTCCCAGAATCCCTCTCTCCCCTGACAGTGCTGGGATTTGGGGGCCTGAGGCGCTTACTACTTTAACCATTTACCTTCCTAATTGTCTAAGTTACTAATGATCTTTTTAAGAAAATGCAACCTCTGCTAATTCACATGAAAAGTAAATAAACACCAAAGAGAAGAGTTTCCCTATTGATACAATGACCTACCAAGAAAGAACTCTCTATGTAGAAGGGGGGGAATTTTAATGGGAGAAGAAAATAATAAGATTCTTCCCTGTTTTTCAGCTGGTCAGCTTTCCACACCCAGTGGTAAGTTGTACTTGTTTTCCTGCTGCTTTCTGTGGTGATTGCTTGCCACAGGCCTAGTGCCTTTACCTGCTCTGCTCATTCTAACCTGTATATACTAACCTAAGACACATGACTTCCTGCTTCCTTTTCTGGTCCACCTGTGAAGGAAACCACCATTTATTAAATCTTTTTTCTTTGCCTGTCCTGGGACTTGAACTCAGGGCCTGGGTGCTGTCCCTGAGCTGCTTTGCACTCAAGCTAGCGCTCTACCACTTGAGCCACAGTGCCACTTCCAGCTTTTTCTGAGTAGTTTATTGGAGATAAGAGTGTCACAGACATTCCTGCCTGGGCTGGCTTTGAACTGTGATCTTTAGATCTCAGCCTCCTGAGTAGCTAGGTTGACAGGCATGAGCACTGGAGCCTGGCCATTTATTGAATTGTAAACACTGATTTACTCTGCATATCCTATAAGAACTATTAGTGTTCTTTAGTTATATTGCCCCATTTAATCCTTACAGGAGCTCCATTAGTAGTCTTATAAGAAAGAAGAAACAGGGGCTGGGAAGGTGGCTCAGTGGTAGAGCGCTTGCCTTGCATGCCTGAGGCCCTGGGTTCGATTCCTCAGCACCACATAAGCAAAAAGAAAAAAAGCCGGAAGTGGCGCTGTGGCTCAAGTGGTAGAGCGCTAGCCTTGAGCTGAAGAGCTGAGGGACAGCGCCCAGGCCCAGAGTTCAGGCCCCATGACCGGACCCAGAAAAAAAAAAAAAAAAAAGAAGACACAAGCCAAATAACTTGCCCAAAAGTGTATAGTCATAGAACCATACTTCAAACCTAGAATGTATATATACCAAAGATTTTTGCCTACACAAATATGGCTCTTTAAGAGGCATTCAAGTCACTGATTTCTAATTCTGTTTTTTTAGGTACACTGCTGACACCTTTATGTAAGTATAACATCTCTTTCTCTACCTTAGTTCTCTTTGTCCCCTTCATTTCACTTCTGTTTAAATGATCTGAGTTTCTCATCCCTAACCTCCTTATCACTCAGCTTCCTTCATATCATAGCTCCTAGATCATGAAAGAAAATACTGATTAGAAGGACCAAGTTAACATTTATCAACAAAATACTGGAGAATGTTAGGGGAAAATGGAGATGTAGGCAGAATTTTTTTTTTCTTTTTTTTGGGTCCGGTCGTGGGGCCTGAACTCTGGGCCTGGGCGCTGTCCCTCAGCTCCTCAGCTCAAGGCTAGCGCTCTACCACTTGAGCCACAGCGCCACTTTCTGGCTTTTTTCTTTTTGCTTACATGGTGCTGGGAATCGAACCCAGGGCCTCAGGCATGCAAGGCAAGCGCTCTACCACTGAGCCACCTTCCCAGCCCTAGGCAGAATTTTTGAGAGAGAAGGGGAGGGTATAGAAGCAGAGGGGAAGGGCGAAGAACAGAGAATGAAGGGGAGCAGGGAGGAGAGGGAAAGAAGGAGGGGAAAAAGAAGGAAGGGGAAGGGAAAAGAAAAGTAGCTATTTAGTAGCTACTTAGGAGGCTGAGATCTGAGGATCACGGTTTAAAGTCAACCAAGGCAAGAAAATCCATGAGACTCTTATCTCCAATAAACTACTCAAAAATAAATCAGGAAGAGGAGCTATGGTTCAAATGGTGGAACACTAGCCTTGAGTAAAAAAGCTCAGGGTAGTACTCAGGCCCTGAGTTCAAGTCCCAGGACCATTACCAAAAAAAATAGAAAAAGAACCCAAGTTTCCCCCAGTGATCACAACGTTATTCAAACAAAAAGCTCAAGTATTCCTTTTTTTTTTTTTTGATCGGTCGTGGGGCTTGAACTCTGGGCTTGGGCGCTGTTCCTGCGCTCTTCAGCTCAAAGTGAGTGCTCTACCGCTTGAGCCACAAGGCCACTTCCGGTTTTCTAGTGGTTTATTGGAGATAAGAGTCACAGACTTTCCTGCCGGGGCTGGCTTTGAACCACGATCCTCAGATCTCAGCCTCCTGAGTAGCTAGGATTACAGGCGTGAGCCACCAGCGCCCGGCTAAAAAGCTCAAGTATTCTTTAGCTAAGACTGTAACACAAAGTTGTTTACGTCCAATAAATGAAGAGACCCTTTAGGGAAGTCTTACCTTCAACATCATCATCACTGCTTAACCTCACATCTGAGTTGAATTGCAGCTGATCTTCAAGGCTGGTTTGGATCGTTTTTCCATGTGCCAACCCCTTACAGACACCAGCAAAATAACTAAGAGAACACTGTGTGGTTCATATTTTTTTAAGTAAATTAATTTATTTTGTTTATTCTTTTAGTGATCTCCCAGAGGATCGCAAGTAAGTTCTCCACTTTTCCTTAGGTTAGATGCTTCTATTTCTAAGGGCCCTTGTGTTTACTTCACATCCCATAAGGGCTTACCTACTGACTGAAAGGTACCTATTTTGGTTTGTAACTGTAGAATTTCTAGCCATTTCAGTTCTTCACTCAATTTCCCGGGTAACAGATGCCAACAGTGACTTAACAAGTCGCACTAAACATTGACAATAGTGTTAGTTCATATAAAATTTAGAAACCCAGTCTTCACAAGAAGATGCAAATCTTCAGCAATCCCAATAACCTCTGGAGTTCCTCAAACTAAGTTACATTAATATTAAAGGACAAACTCAGCACCATAATTCATACCATAATCTTCATTACGTAGGAGGCTGAAGTCAAATGGGTTTCCAGCCCAGGCAAAAAAGTTCACAAGACCCTGCTGTATGAAGTAGTGCATGCCTGTCATCCTAGCTACATGAGAGGCTGAGATCAGGAGGACCATGGATCCAGGCAAAAAATTCACAAGACCTAATCTCAATAGAAAATACTGGTGGTGTGGTCTATATTTGTCATTTCAGCTATTGTGAAAAGCATAATTTAATAAAAGAGGGTCATAATCCAGGCCAGCTTAAACAAAAAGCAAGGACCTAAAAATAAGCAGAGACAGCCAGGCACTGTAATCCTAACTACTCAGGAGGCTGAGAGAGGAGGACTGTGGTTTGAAACCAGCCCAAGCAAGAAAGTCTGTGAGACTCTTATCTCCAATGAAGCACCAAGAAAAGCTGGAAGAGAAGCTGTGGACCAAGTGGTAGAGTGAGATAGCTTTAAGAAACAAAGTTCTGGGTCAACACCCAGGTCCTGAGTTCAAGCCCCAGGACTGGCACCAAGTGATAACAATAGTAGTAGTAGTAGTAGTAGTAGTAGTAGTGAGAGCCAAATAGGTACACACACACACACACATATACACACACACACATACACACACATTGAGAGAGAGAGAGAGAAAGTTCATGCCAAGGTTAGAAATTCAATTCAGAATCTACCAGAGTTTAAGCAGGTACTCTAAATGAATATGATGAATTAGGTCCCCTAAGAACTGTGTAGAGTCACGTGCATTCTGATGACAAACACTGCTGCTCTGCTCTGGCCAACTTTTCCATGCAAGAAAGCAGATTTAGAGGTGCCAAAGCAGCTCAAGTGAAGCCAGGTTTGGGAGTATAATTTCCCAACATTTTAGCATGGATCCCTGTGGTAGATTTGCAAACATCCATATATATCTCCCTCCACTTCCATCTAAACACACTTGAAATATAACTGCACAACAATAATGAATGGCAAAGCTAGGACAAAGAGATTTGTATTTGAAGGAGAATTGGAGGTATTGACATAGAATGTGCTAGAGTTTCAAGACCCACTTCAAGATGGTAGCCAAGGTGGTAGAGAGCTGGAATCAGGATGTCTTGAAGTGAAGTTGGGAGCAGAAAACACACAGCGTGTCCATGGACAGGAACTAAGATATCTTCACCTCTCTGTGCCAGGAGCGAAACAGCATTCGTAACCCTGATAGGATAAGAAGAACCAAAAGTCTAACTGGAGGGGGTGATAGAGATATTGAGGGGTTGGTGGGATGGCTCAGGTGGTAGGGCGCCTGCCAGTGAGCAAAAGCATCAGATAATGAGTTTCAGTCCCAGTCTAGGACAAAAAGAGAGAGAAAGAGAGATTGAAAAGTAGGAAAGTAAGGAAGCTGGTATGCATGTGGTCTGTGGCATTTACTTTCATGAAAGTAGAAGAGGGATTACGAGGGAGGTGGGAAAGTAATCAGTAAAGGGGAGTTGAGGGATGCTAGCAGAGGGGTGAATATCAACAATAAATGCCACCTGTCAAAATTAAGCCCACTACTTTGTATAATTAGTGTATGCGAATAGAAACTAAAATCTGCCATGAATGAGGTCTTGCTCGCTCTTCTTATTCAGTGTGACACTGAATGACATCAATCAGAGATTATTTGTCTTTCTCCAGACAAACGCACTAATTTATTTGTCTTTTCTATTGAAGCAAAACCTGGGATGCCTGCAAGTAAGTTCCCTATTTCTCTCCATTTTATTGCTATATTAGTTTCTTGTGGCATCAATACATAGTCCCTATTGAGTCCTATTATGAGTGGGAAGGTACCAAAACCCAAGGTTTTGGCCTTTTTCTTGTTTTCTTTCTTTTTCTTATTTTCTTTTTCTTTTCTTTTTTTTTTTTGGTCGGTCATGGGGCTTGAACTCTGGGCCTGGACACTGTCACTCAGTTCTTCAGCTCAAAGCTAACATTCTACCACTTGAGCCACAATCGCCATTTCCGGTTTTTCTAGTGGTTTATTGGAGATAAGAGTCTCATGGACTTTTCCTGCCAGGGCTAGCTATGAACTGTGATCCTCAGATCTCAGCCTCCTGAGTAGCTAGGATTATAGGCTTGAGCCACCAGCGCCTGGCAACTCTGGTCTATTCTGTGGTCTAACTCTGTGGTCTACTCATTTTCTCTAGTATTCCATAGCTCCTAATGTCCAGATTCCCTACTCCTATTTATTTCCAATGGCTTGCATATTTAATCATTGAAATAGCTTAATATCTGATATGGTGCTTTACTCAATGTACCAGGTTCATGACTTTACCTATGCACATACTTTATATCAGATTAGTATTTTTGCTCTTATTATTCAGGGGTAGATTGTGATTAAGAGGAAAACGTAGGGGCTGGGAAGGTGGCTCAGTGGTAGAGCGCTTGCCTTGCATGCATGGGGCCCTGAGTCTGATTCCTCAGTACCACATAAACAAAAAAAGTTGGAAGTGGCGCTGTGGCTCAAGTGGTAGAGCACTAGCCTTGAGCTGAAGAGCTGAGGGACATGCCCAGGCCCAGAGTTCAGGCCCCATGAACTACTGAAAAAAAAAAAAAAGTGGAAAATGTAAGACTAGGTATCTCACTCACAATCTCACAACTACAAGTACTAGGTCCACCTACCTGATCTAAAAGTTAAGTAGTACCTCCATCAAGCTAAATAAGATATTTATGCTTTTGGAGGGAAAAAAGAAACTTTTCTAAAATTAACCTAAAAGTATAATGGAATGAGCAAGTTGAATCAAACACAATCATTGCAAAGAAATAAAAAGAAAGGAATAAGAAAATAATCAAGGGCTGGGAAGGTGGCTCAGTGGTTAAAGCACTTGCCTTGCATGCCTGAGGCACTGGGTTCGATTCCTCAGCACCACATAAGCAAAAAGAAAAAAGCCAGAAGTGGCACTGTGGCTCAAGTGGTAGAGCGCTAGCCTTGAGCTGAAGAGCTGAGGGACAGTGCCCAGGCCCAGAGTTCAGGCCCCATGACCGGACCCAAAAAAAAAAAAAAAAAAGAAAGAAAGTAATCAAGTGACCCAATACATTATACCACTGAATTTTGAAACTTCAAATCAGCAGAGAGAAATAAAGAGGAAATAGCCTCTCTCGATGATCACTGTCTTATCCTTGCTTTCCAAAAAGGAACCCAAATTAAGACACTTGAAGAGAACAATCTCAAGATGGTCTCCCACTATTGTTAATTGATCCTAAAGAGAGTTTGGTGGTCTCTGAGTTCTGTTTCTAAAACTTCCAGTAGAAAGACTCTGAGAAGTAACTATGTTTGTTATGTAGAAACCTCTCTTATTCAATTATTTCTTTTTACAGTAAAACAAAAACCAAGTAAGTTCTGTCTATTTATCGATCCTGAGGTTGGTTCCTGTACAGATTATATCCTTTTCCAAGCATATAAGACCTCAACATTCAAGACTTTTTTTCATTTTTTTTGCTCTATATTGAATGGCTTCCTCTAACAACACTGAAAGATATTTTAGAAAAATAAAAATGTCCAGGCCCCAGTGACTCACGCCTGTAATCCCAGCTACACAGGAGGCTGAGATCTCACAATAGCAGCACAAAGCCAGCTCAGGCAAGAAAGTCTGTGAGATCCCCTGATCTCCAATTAACCACCAAATGGCTGGGAAGTGAGCTCTGGCTCGAATAATAGAGTGCCAGTTTTGAGCAAGATACCTCAGGGACAGTGCCCAGGCCCTGATTTCAAAGCCCCAGAACCAGAAAAACAAAGAAAAAGATGACCTTTTTAAAGATAGCATGAAGTCAGAAATGGTATTTTCAAATGAGTTTCATTGGGTTATTTGGGTTTCAATTTATTTTGAATATAATTATTTTGAACATAATAATTATATACATTCATGAGGTATAATATGACCACTTAATATGTGTATACAAAGTATAACAATCAAATCAAGCTAATTAGCAGTCCTATCTTATTTTTTTTAAATCATCATTTCTTGTGTATGGAATACACAAGTCCCTTTCTTCTAGTTCTTTATAAAGTATATAATGAGTTTTTTACAAACTATTGTCACTCTACTGTGCTATAAGATAGTAGGACAGTGGCATACTAGAGGTCATAAGAAGCAAGAAAGTAAAGGCAGGCATGTTAGAACTGCCCATCATTCTTAATCTTTGTATACAAATAAGTTCTTCTCCTTTGATTAATACACATCTATAAAATAAAACTGACAAACAGAAATAATTTTGGATGGGATAAGAAAAAAATTGAATTAGCTTTACTGGCTTTTCCACACACAAGAAAGAATAGTTTATTCGCATACATTAGCTGCACAAGGGTTTCTTTGTGATATTCCCATACACACATGCAAAGATCTTATTTAGCTATGGCTCCTCTTTGTTCCCCATCCTCACTTCTTAAGACAATTTCTACAGGTTTCTTTGTGCTAGTTTCATACATGTTTGTCTCCACACAAACTCCCTCTCCTTTTGTCCTCCCCCTCCCACTGTACCCACACCCAAACAGAACATGTTTTACATTCCCTGTCATTCTTTTTCTTTTTTTGCCAGTCATAGGGCTTGAACTCAGAGCCTAGACACTGTCCCTGAGCTGTTTTTGCTCAAGGCTAGCACTCTACCACTTGACCACTTCCAGCTTTTTTGTGTATGTGGTACTGAGGAATTGAACCCAGGGCTTCATGCATGTTAGGCAAGCACTCTACCACTAAGCCACATTCCTAACCCCATAGAGTAGATTCTGCATATGAGAGAGAATGTGTGGTATTTATCTTTCTTACTCTGGCTTATTTCATGTAACATGACAATCCCTAGCACCACCCATTTCTCTGCAAATGACAAAACTTCACTCTTCTTTGCAGCTGAATAATACTCCATTGTGTATGCCACGTTTTCTTTGTCTACTCATTGGTTAATGGACACCTAAACTACTTCCGTATTTTTGACTCTTGTGAATAGGGCTACTATAAAACCTAACTCTATGTAGGTGTCTTAACTGTATTGGATTAACTGACTGGCATTCTTTGCCACATATGCTCAATTAAACATGGTAGAAATTACACTGAAAAGTAGGAAAATCATGGAGAGAGTAAGCAATGAGAGAATAAAGGGGGGAAATCAAGCAAAACTGATGAGAAATGAGGGGTTTTCTGGCTCTTTTATGCTTCATTTTCCAAGAGAAATTAGATAATAAAAAGGAAACTTAAGCCAGGTGTCATGCCTGTAATGCTAGCTGAGATCTGAGAATTGCAGTTCAAAGCTAGCTCAAGCAGGAAAATCTGTGAGACTCTTATCTCCAAAAGCCAGAAGTGGTGCTGTAGCTCAAATGGTCGCGTGTTAGCCTTGACCAAAAGGAGCTTAGGGACACTGCCCAGGCCCAGAGTTTAAGGGCCAGGACCAGCAAAATAAGTACTCACTTCAACTCTCAAAATAGTTAGATTACCATGTTTGCTCTGTATGTGTGTGTGTGTGAGTGTGTGTGTGTGTGAGAAAGAGAGAGAGAGAGAGAGAGAGAGAGAGAGAGAGAGAGAGAGAGAGAGATCCTGGGGCTTGAATTTAGGAGCTGAGCACTGTCCCTGAGCTTTTGTACTCAATGCTAGTGCTCTACCACTTGAGCCACAGTTCTACTTCCAGTTTTTTTGGTGGTTAATTGGAGATAATAGTCTCACAAACTTCCCTACCTGGGCTAGCTTTGAACCATAACCCTCAAATCTCAGCCTCCTTAGAAGCTAGGATTATAGGCATGAGCCACCAGCACTTGGCAGAATACTGTCTCAAAGGACTAAAGTAACTCATTATAAGGCTTGTAGGTTGAATTCTTCCATTTCATCCCAAAATTCCTGTCTGTAAACAGTGCTAGAAAGAATTCTGTTATCATTGTTAATTCTGCTATTAGTGTCAACCCATGCTAATAATTTGTATTTGGATTTTAGTACAGGTAACAGTGCCTATAAGTAAGTTCCTTTCTTCATAAATCTAGTGGAAATTGGGTACCCAATATGAGGAGGACTTTCTTTTCCAAATTCTCACCTAAATTCCGTGTAATAATCTGTGTATAGAATCTGTCTCTTACTCAGCAATCTGCTGATGTAAGAAAAAAAGAGAAAAGAAAGAAAAGGAAAGGAAAAAAGAAAGTTGATATCTCTGACTCCATTACACATAAATTTTGGGGTAGTGGGGGTTGGTGTCACCCAAATGTCTGTGTTAGAGACACATATTCTTGATCCAGAATCTTTACTAATACATTTTTATTTCATGTTGTCCGGCCCAGAAAATCCAGCACCTGTTGGTAAGTTATTATGCATTTATTTCTTAATTCTAATATCCTTTAGCTGGCCATCATAGATTCTTCAAAGTTGACAGTGGCTAGTCCAAATAGTTTATGTGTTGTTAAGGAGCTGAGTGTTTTCATCAGATGGTAAAAATCTTTGTTCCATTTGAGGAAAGCAGTAGTATTAAGGCAAATTCTGTTAAAGACAATAGGTGAACTTGCCTAGCAATCTTGAGACTCTGAATTCAATCTCTAGAACCTCAAAAAATAAGTATAATAATAATGTGTTAAAAAGGCACTAGGTGAAAATATGACCTTGATTTGGGTGAGATTTTTCTAGCAAATTCACCAATCTTCCAGTTGCTTTCCACATTCCCTCCACATGTACCCTCCCATGAAGGCAATCATTTTTGTCAGATGGCTATATTTTCAACTCTTCCCTAAATGACTAAAGAATAGGTTTTTATTTATTGTAATAAGTTACTATATACTCAAAACATACATATGTCTGCTAGTTGATTAATACTAATACTTGATACTGAAAATGAGTATTTAGTTTCTACTATCTTCAGTTGTACAAAGGAGTCTCAATTCAACATGTCAGTTTATGAGTACAAGGTATCTTGATCCATGTCACCCCGTTCATCATTCTCCCTCATCTCTCCAACCCCACCAATCCCCTCAGTTTTCCTAGTTCTGTTTTCACATATATACATTGAATATTATAGCTGCATCATCCCACCCTTCCTCTCTTTGTCTACTTCCCTCCCCTTGGCCGCCTCATCGACCCTGAAACCTCAAGGTTCAGCTTCCTGGAATCCATGTTGTGAGACTATAAGTTTGCTGGCAAACTAGTATCTAAATATTAACAATTCCTCATACTGCATGCCATCCCTCCCCTATTCTAGTTACCTACAGTGTCTGTGATGTTAGAGATATGATTAAGGGTTTTTCTCTATCATGTATCTTTGTAGCTACCTTCTTAGGAGACAGAGTGATACAGTATCTTAGGAAGGTTTTTTTTTCTTTATCACTATTACTATAAAGAATACGATAATTGAATGTATTTTGTTTGTTGTTGTTGTTATTTTTGTGGGTCATGGGGCTTGAACTCTGGGCCTGGGCGCTGTCCCTGAGCTCTTCAGCTCAAGGCTAGCACTCTACCACTTGAGCCACAGCACCACTCCCAGTTTTCCGGTACTTTATTAGAGATTAGATGTCATGGGCTTTCCTGCCCAGGCTGGAAAGTGGAGCTGTAAGCTCAAGTGGTAGAGCGCTTGCTTTGAGCAAAAAAGCCAAGTGACAGTGAGAGAGCCTGAGTTCAAGCACTCATATTGGCACCAATAATAATAATAATTTTTAAAATTTTGCTTCATTAGCTCATTACTCTCCAAATAACCTGGTTATTTAGGTTCTAAAAACTGGGTTTAAATTGAATTAATAAGAGAAAGCATATTCTGAGAGAATTTAATATTTTCCAAAAGACTGCTTTCTGATACTTGAAGTAGGTTTTCATGTATATAATTTTGAAATCTAATCCATTTTCTTTTCCTTTTTAGCATTTTGCCCACTAAGTAAGTTCCCATTATCTTTCTGAATTTTGTCTAAATTGGTTCTGCATTTGGAATCTGTTGTATCTGGTTCATTTTATTCATTGGTTGGGTGGGTTGGTTGGTTGGTGGTTGTGGTAGTGATGGAGGTCTTTGGGTCAATTTTTGTTTTGTTTTGATAAAAAAAAAAAAAAAACAGGACATCATATGGAAAGGATAAAAAGGGAAAATGTGTTTCTCTGGTTAGAGAATTAAAATGCAGAGGAAAAAAAGAGAAACAATATTCAAACAATGTGGTCAGATTACAATGAAACCTTTGTATTTCAACTTGTAGAATCACAAAACGAAATCCCAAAAGGTAAAAGGTAGAAACACTAAAAATTATACCTAGCAAGTGAGACATTAAAGAGCTACAGACTGAAGGCAGGTGTAATAGCTCATTTCTATAATCCCAGATACTCAGGAGGCAGCAATTGAAAAGATCATGGTCCCAAGGCCAGCTCCAGCAAAAAATTAGCAAGACCCCCAAGAGCTACAAAATATCATTCTTACTTTTTCAACCATTTATAAATGCAAAATCTAATTGTACCTCCCAGTGCGTACAAAAATAGAAGCAAGCTGCATTTATCTAGGGGCTGGGCTTTGCCAAATCTTGCTGTAGATTTCAGATATCCTAAGACTACATTCTCACCCCTGATAAACAATCCTGGTATTGTATTTCTTGCAATTTCATGCTTTCTAATTATTGTATTTTTATTTTAGGTGTATTAAGTAACATCAACCCAAGAGATACACCTATATGTCAATATGAGTTGAAATATATATCTGACAAGCATACCTAAAGTAATTCTTAAGTGAATGATGTTAGCATGTGTCTTCTAACTAAGGACATTATATATCCTATGTTTTATAAATGCTAATCATGGAACTCTAAATAAAATTGCTAGTTACTGATGAAAAGTAATGGCAATTTGGATTATTCAGATTGTCCTAAAGGACAACAGGCTAAGGAAGGGAAGGCAATGAAATTTCCTCATATTTAACTAAACAGAACTTAGCAATTAATAACACAGATTCTATCAATATAGAGGCTGGAGACTTGGGAAGAAGGGAAAACCCAGAATCTATTAATTTTTTTTGCCTTTTTCTCTTTCAGTGGACAACTCTGGAAAAATCAGTAAGTTTGGATCATTTCCTTACCTTTCTTGTTTCTACAATTAGGACCTTACAGACTGTGTTCGCAAATTTTCTTGAGTTACAAGTTCATCTATCTTAAAGTAGTCATCTTTTTTTTTTCAGCCCTGGGCTTGAATTCTGGGCTTGGGCACTGTCCCTCAGCTCTTTAGCTCAAGGCAAGTGCTCTACCACTTGAGCCACAGCACCACTTCTGGTTTTCTAGTGGTTTATTGGAGATAAGAGTCTCATGGACTTTTCCTGCCTGGGCTGGCTTTGAACCATGATCCTCAGGTCTCAACTTCCTGAGTAGCTAAGATTACAGGCATGAACCACTGGTGCCCGGCTTAGTAGTCATCATTTCTTAAATGATTTCCTCTCATTTTGGTTTTGATTCCCTCTTCACCTATTTTTCTTGTGTAACAAAGTATAATTGCTTTCCCTTGGTTCCTAGCTCTGTATCACCAATAATCATCAATAGCAGAAATCACCAATTAGTCAACCAAAATGACTAGTTGGCAATTGGGAACTTTACATTTAAAAAGAAAATGCTAGGGGCTGAGAAGGTGGCTCAGTGGTAGAGTACTTGCCTTGCATGCATGAGGCCCTGGGTTCGATTCCTCAGCACCACATAAGCAGAAAAAGCTGGAAGTGGTGCTGTGGCTCAAGTGGTAGAGCACTCCTAGCCTTGAGCTGAAGAGCTGAGGGACAGTGCCCAGGGCCAGAGTTCAGGCCCCATGACTGGCCCAAAAAAAAAAGAAAGAAAGAATGAAAATGCTCAGAGATTTGACAGCAACTAAGTACCAAGACATGATGATTTTGACATTTTTCAAACTAATTAGAATAGCTTAAAATTTTGACTCTTAAAAGAATTTTATGTAGTGTGTAGTCCTAGCTACTCAGGAAGCTGAGATCTAAGGATCATGGTTCAAAGCCAGCCCGGACAGCAAAGTCTACAAGACCCTTATCTCCAAATAAAACAGAAGGTGCTGTGGCTCAAAGCCGTAGAGGTCTGGTCTTGAGCAGAAAGAGCTCAGAAATAGCACCCAGACCCTAAGTTCAAGCCCCATGACCAACAACAAGAAAAGACAAAAAAGGTAGGATGTAAGTCAAGAGCAGTGGTTCATGCCTGTGGAATCCTAGCTACTCAGGAGACTGAGATCTGAGGATCTCAGTTCAAAGCCAGACAGGGCAGGAAAGTTAGAGACATTCTTAACTCCATTTAATCACCAAAAATGCTGGAAGTGGAGATGAAGCTCAAGTGGCAGAGTGCTAGCCTTCAACAAAAAAGCTCAGGGAGCAGGGCACCAGTGGCTCACACCTATAATCCCTAGCTACTCAGAAGACTGAGACCTGAGAATCAGAGTTCAAAACCAGCCTAAGCAGAATAGTCCATGAAACTCTTATCTTCAATTAACCACCAGAAAACCAGAAGTGGTTCTGTGGCTCAAAGTGGTAGAACACTATCCTTGAGCTGAAGAGCTCAGGGACAGTGCTCAGGCCCAGAGTTCAAGCCTCAGACCTCTCCCACTCCACCCCTCCCCCAAAAAAGTAGGAACTGTAATAGTTGGGATTTTAGTAGAATTCATCTTACTTATCCAAGGATTAAAGATTACCCTCTCTGCAGAGTAGAATAGGAAACATTGGCCTGTAACAGTCCTGAAGGTAATTTGTCTTCCATGTAGATTCTATTTCTGAATTAACCTAAAAAGAATATTATTGGAAAGTGGGTTCTCTTTAAGCTGGAAAATGCTCACTGATCTTTCTTTTGTGTTTTACTTTTAGCACTATTTCCAATGGGTAAGTTCCTTAACAATTATTAGCTAGGATATTTACATTGCTTGTCATTGTTTTCTGAACTGGACATTTCTACTCCTACAGTACAGGCATGTGGATCAAATATCCCTTTTATCTGGAATCACCGGGGTTTTCTGTATGTGGGTGCCAGTACTGGGCCTTGAACTCATGGGCACCATGCTCTTGTTTACCTTTTTTTTTTGGAGGGGGTGGGAGGGTCTGGGCGTGGGGCCTGAACTCTGGGCCTAGGTGCTATCCCTCAGCTCTTCAGCTCAAGGCTAGCAGTGCTCTAACATTTGAGCCATAGCACCACTTCCAGCTTTTTTTTCTGCTTATGTGGTGCTGAGGAATAGAACCCAGGGTCTCATACATGCAAGGCAAGTGCTCTACCACTGAGCCACCCTCTCAGCCCCTTTTATTTTCTGCTTATGTGGTGCTGAGGAATCGAACCCAGGGCCTCATGCATGCAAGGCAAGCACTCTACCACTGAGCCACCTTCCCAGCCCTTGCTTAGCTGTTTCGTGCAAGGCTGACCACTTGAGCCACACCTCTACTTCCTCATCTAGCACTTAAGTACATTCTTTGACAAAAAAAATTATTGTTATTATAAAGGTAATCTACAAATTAAATACATAGTTTTAGAGATACTGCTACAGAGAAAATGAAGTTCATAGGAAAGGATTGTTGATATCTTCCAGCCATCTTATCCTAGACTTTAAAAAGAATCTCATTGGCTCCCAGTAATATGCAATGAAAGAAAGATTGGTTTCTGAGTTCTGTTAGCTTTTTTGCTGGGAATTTAGAATTCATTTTCAAGTAAAGTCTTCTGGATCACACTGTTAGGGGAAAAATCTAGTTACATTCCTTTTTTTGAAGGACAGTAGGGATGGAGTACCTGCTATATATTGGATATTGGGCTATGCACCTTCAAAACAGTATTTCTTTCTTTTTTTTTTTTTTTTTTTTTTTTTTTTAATTTAATTTAATTTTATTTGTGAACACAGTATTTCTTTTTTTTCCCCCTCAGGATTAGCACTTTGCCACTTTCAGCCACAGCTCCATTTCTGGTTCACAGCTCCACTTCTGGTGTTCTGGTGGTTAATTGGAGATAAGGGTGTCTCAGGGGCTTTTCTGCCTTGGCTGGCTTTGAAATGCAATCCTCAGATCTCAGCCTCCTGAGTGGCTAGAATCACAGGCATGAGCCACTGACACCCTGCTCTTACTCTTTTTATAGTCCTATTTTTTGAGTGCCTGTCCTGAGGCTTAAACTCAGGGCCTGAACGCTGTCCCTGAGTTCTTTTGCTCAATGGCACTCTACCACAGCTCTACTTTCAAGTTTTTCTGGTACTTAAGTAGAGATAAGAATCTCATGAACATACTGGCTTAGAACCATGCTCCTTGGAGCTGAGCTTCCAGAGTAGCTAGGATTATAGGCATGAACCACCAGCACCTGTGGCAGCTATTATTATCTCCAACTTTACAGATCTGGAAACTGGCTCAGATGTGGTGTAAAGAGTTGGAAAATACTGTTAAACCTTTCTGGCACTGAAGTACCGATTCTATACCAACACCTTGTCTCCTACATTATGTCATAATGCTTTTTTGTGACTAGTCATGAAACCTTATCTAGTAATCAACTATTTATAAATATAAATATGTGTCTACTAGAGATATTGACTAATGTTCACAAAAAGAATTCTTCTTAAAATAGATAAGTTCCCATTTAAATCAATCTTTGATTTGTGTGTGTCGTGTGTGTGTGTGTGTGTGTGTGTGCATGTATGCACATGTGTGCTAGTAATAGAGCTTGAAGTCAGGGCCTGGGCCCAGTCCTTTGGCTTTTTTTTTTTTTTTTTTTTCTCAAGGCTAGTGCTCTACCACTTGAGCCTTTGCTCTACTTCCAGATTTTTGGTGGTTACTTGGAAACAAGAGTCTCATGAACTTTGCTGCCTAGGCTGATTTCCAGCTACAACCTCAGATCTCAGCCTCCTGAGTAACTAGGATTACAGGTGTAAGTCAGTAGTGTCTGGCTGATGTTTTGTTTTCTAAATTCAGGTTTCTCCCTACGGGGCTTATTTAAATCATGACCTTCAAGAAACTATATTAAAAAAAATAGAGTACTAATTTTTTAAATATACATGTATATATAATCATAAGAAACAAGCCGGGCGCATGTGGCTCACGCCTGTAATCCTAGCTACTCAGGAGGCTGAGATCTGAGGATCACGGTTCAAAGCCAGCCCGGGCAGGAAAGACTGTGAGACTCCTATCTCCAATAAACCACCAGAAAACCGGAAGTGGCGCTGTAGCTCAAGTGGTAGAGGGCTCGCCTTGAGCTGAGGAGCTGAAGGACAGCGCCCAGGCCCAGAGTTCAAGCCCCACGACCGACAAAAAAAAAAAAAAAAAATCATAAGAAACAAGTAAGACCCATCTAATGAGATATATTTCAATCTTTCCAAACAAAATCTGAAGGAGCAATCATTTTATTTAGAAATAGTATGTTGTTTTTTTTTTGTTTTTGTCAGCCTTGGGGCTTGAACTCTGGGCTTGGGCACTGTCCTTGCACTCTTTGGCTCAAGGCAAGTGCTCTACCTCTAGATCCACAGCACCACTTCCGGTTTTCTGAGTGGTTTATTGGAGATAAGAGTCTCACGGACTTTCCTGGCTTTGAACCGTGATCCTCAGCTCTCAGCCTCCTGTATAGCTAGGATTACAGGCATGAGCCACCAGCGCCCGGCTTATGTATTCTTTTATATAAGAAATAGTATAGGCCAGACACTGATGGATAATGCCTGTAATGCTAACAACTCAGGAGACTGAAATCTGAGGATCCTGGTTCAAGGCCAGCATGGACAGACAAATCTAAAACTCTTATCTCCAATAACCAGTAACAGGGTTGGAAGTAGAGCTGTGGAGCAAGTGATAGAGCACCAGCCTTGAATAACATGACAAGCAATAACGGGAGGCTCTCCTGAGTTCAAGCCTCCATAGTGGCACCAAAACAACAAAAAGTGGAATTTTATCAATACTTCTATAATTTTCACCTTTTCCACTATTTTATACTTTCAGGAAATTTTCATATTATATCCAGTTTGTCCATTTTAAGACAAAATATGGAAACCAGTATGTGGGGGATAGAGGGAGATAAAGCAGAAGAACTTGATATTTGAATCATGCACTTTTATTGTGTACGCAGTTATGCTTCCAGGTAACAAGGCTGAAGGACCTAAAAAACAATGCGATAACAAAGTCCAGTTTCTGGAACATGGAGGAACTACAAGTGATCCGAAGAGCCAAGAGGAAACCAAGGAAGCAGAGTGTTATGAATCCTTGTTTCCAACACACACAAAAGAGCCAAATGGCATGTCACTGGAGGAAGACAAGCTAGAAATAGAGATCATGTTAAAGAGCGACTCTGAAATACTAAAAGAAGAGGAATCCCCGGTGAAGAAGAGCGATGCCAGAGTCCCGAGAGAACAGAGTGCCCAAGAAAATGCTAAGGTGGCATTACGAAAAGAAGAGGAATCCCCAGTGAAGAGGAGTGAGGTGGAGATTCCCAAAGGAAAGGAACACAAAGTCAGGCAAAGTGAGGTCGGGGTTCCAAAAGAACCTGAAGTCCAAGAAAAGAGGGAAGTGTTCGTACCAAAAAGACAGGAACCCTTCATAAATAAGAGTGAGGTAATAGTACCAAAAAGACAGGAATTGCAAGAAATGAATGAGATGGCAGCAGCCAAACAAGCTGAAGCCCCAGAGAGGAAGAACGAGGCAGGCGAACCAAAGGGACAGGAGTCCCGAATAAAGCCGAGTGAAGCGTCCATACCAAAAAGACCGGACTCCCAGAGGAGTGTGATGGGCATGTCCCACCGAGCCGAGGCCCCAGAGAGGAGGATCGAGGCAGGAGAGCTAACAGGACAGGAGTCCCGAATAAAGCCGAGGGAAGTATTCATACCAAAAGGACAGGACTCCCAGAGGAGTGTGATGGGCATGTCCCACCGAGCCGAGGCCCTAGAGAGGAAGATCGAGGCAGGAGAACCCAAAGGACAGGAGTCCCGAATAAGGAAAAGTGAAGTCGGACTACCAAAAAGACAGGAATCCTATGCAAGAGTGACTAAAGAACCTGAAGCCCAAGAGAAGAAAAATGAGGTACTAGCACTGAAAGGACCGGAAACCCAAGCGAAGAAGAGTGAGGCGTTAGTACCGAAAGGACCAGAAATCCAAGCTAAGAAGAGTGAGGCGTTAGTACCGAAAGGACCAGAAACCCAAGCCAAGAAGAGTGAGGCGTTAGTACCGAAAGGACCAGAAACCCAAGCCAAGAAGAGTGAGGCGTTAGTACCGAAAGGACCAGAAACCCAAGCCAAGAAGAGTGAGGCGTTAGTACCAAAAGGACCAGAAACCCAAGCGAAGAAGAATGAGGCAGAAGCTCGTGAAGGACAGGAATCCCAAGAAAAGAAAAATGAGCCAGGAATACCAAACAAACGAGAGGCCCAAACAGGGGAAAAGATGTCAAGGAATAAGGGAAAGGAAGGCCAGAGAAATGAGGGAGGTGCACTGATGAATCAAAATAATGGCCAGTTGATGAAGGCAAAGGTAACAAAGAAAAAGATACTGTTAAGGAATTAGATGTGAAAGGTAAATTTAAAAAAAAATATTTAAGGGGGCCAAAGCACATAAAGAAAATGAGTAAATACAAAGAGAACTGATCCTTGTAATTCCCCTCCTCCAAATACAAGGCACGTACCAGCCGCAGGAGTCTAAATAAAAAATCAACGTCATCTATAGATCTACAGTTTCTGCTCTTCAGAAGTTTCATCAGGTTGAGATATCTTAGCCACAAGCCAGCTTTTAAATGTGTGCTTTATAAGTCAATCCATAATAGCATCCAATCAAGAAGGGCTGGGTACTCTGAAATAAAACATTTTTACTAAAGAAATGTGTATGATTTCATTTTTTTTAATTTTTTTTTGTCATTCATGGAGGCTTGAACTCAGGGCCTGAGCTCTTTTGCTCAAGGTTAGCACTCTGCCACTTTAAGCCACAGCTCCACTTCTGGTTTTCTGGTGGCTAATTGAAGATAAAAGTCTCACAGCCTGCCTTTCCCTGGATTACAGGTGTGAGCAACCAGTGCACAATTAAGAGATGTCTAATTTCCTTTGACAAATATTCTGTCTCTAATTTACCCAACTAAACAATCTCTCTTCATAGTCATTGGTAGCAAGATAATCTATTAGCACTAAGGAATATTCAGAAAAACACAAGTCAGAGTTCCTGCGGAAAAGTAGTTTGTAATATAGAGAGTCATATATGTATAAGTAATTTTTTTTAATCAGTGTTTAAAAGTGTCAAGAAGTGGGCTGGAAAAGTGGCTCGGTGGTAGAGTGCTTGCCTCGTATGCATGAGGCCCTGGGTTCCATATCTTAGCACACATAAACAGAAAAGGCCGGAAGTGGCACTATGTCTCAAGTGGTAGAGCACTAGCCATGAGCTGAAGAGCTGAGGGACAGTACCCAGGCCCAGAGTTCAAACCCCACAGCCAGCAAAAGAAAAGTGTCCAAAACTGCTTTAGAGGGCTGGGAAGATGGCTCAGTGGTAAAGTGCTTGCCTTGCATGCATGAAGCCCTCAGCACCACATAAGCAGAAAAAGCCAGAAGTGGTGCTGTGGCTCAAATGGTAGAGCACTAGCCTTGAGCTCAAGAGCTGAGGGACAGCGCCCAGTCCCGGAGTTCAGGTCCCATGCTTTAGCTAACCCAGGCACTGGTGGCTCACACCTGTAATCCTAAATACTCAGGAGGCTGAGACTTGATCATTACAGTTTGGAACCAGTCCAGACAGGAAAGTCCATGAGACACTTATTTCCAATTAACCACCAAAAATTCAGAAATGGAGCTGAGCCTCAAGTGGTAGAGTGATAGCCTTAATTTAAGAAAACTGAATTTCTTATTTTGCTCTTCAGGAAGATGAAAGACTTCTGACATGATTAAGAAGGACAGTGAGTAAATTTGCATTACAAAAAAAATTAATCTTGGGATTGTGCAAAATAGATGGAAGAAAAGAAACACCAGGGGCTGGGAAGGTGGCTCAGTGGTAAAGCACTTGCCTTGCATGCCTGAGCCCCTGGGTTCGATTCCCCAGCACCACATAAGCAAAAAGACAAAAGCTGGAAGTAGCGCTATGGCTACTAGAGCGCTAGCCTTGAGCTGAAGAGCTGAGGGGCAGCGCCCAGGCCCAGAGTTCAGGCCCCACGACCGGACCCAAAAAAAAAAAAAGAAAAGAAACACCAGAAATAGTAAATCGAAGTAAGAAGTGTAGCTTTGGGTGGCAGAGAAGAAACAAGAAGAAATCACTATTTCGTGGTGACCAGTAGGAGTAAGGAAAACAAAACAATTGATAACTCCCTAACATTTTTAAATCATCAGTGTATTTTTTTTTCATAACAAGCCTCTTCATTTACCAGCAAGAAAAAATACTTTGAATAGGAAAGACATGTCGTGATAAGCTAGAACATGATTAATTTTTTCCTTCAGTATTTGCTTGGGGGGAAAAGGATACCACATTTCTACTCAATTATGGAAAGCACTTTATAGTTCAGAAGTTTGTTGTTTTTATACACTCCATTATGCCATGAAGTTGTAGGAAGTACACTCTAGCCAGCTCAGGCTGCTTCCCTCTTGAATCTCACAAGGTGTTCTCTTTGGCTTCTTTTCCTGATCATTTTCTTTCACACACTTGAGAGCAGCCTTACCCATGAGACTGCTTACTGTATTCAATGTGCACACTGATGCTCTTGGCATGAAGCTTGCCCTTCACTTGCTTGTGTATAACAATGCCAAGAACATGATGGGAAATGTTATAGACTCCTTTTACCATGGTCATGTTTGTAGAGCATTTTTACTTGAGTACAACTTAACGGGAAGGATTATATATTTCAGATCATGACATCAGAGGTGCCAATCCATTATGATGGGTGAGGTGTAGTTCAGTGTCATGGCAGACAGAAAGCAGAGATCAGGAATACAGGAATGGCTAAGGACATGCCCCCAGTGACCTCTTCCCTCCAACTGGGCCCCACACCTTACCTTTCATTTCCCGATAATACTATCCTATCAAGAATCCATTGGGATCAATCTCCTGTTTAGGTCAGAGCCCTCATGATTCAATCACCTCTGGAAATGGCACAACAGACACCCAAGAACTCTGTTTTATTAATCTGGGCAGTTCCCAATCCAATCAATCAAATTGACAAGATTAAGTATCACAAACAGTTCCTAATCCCTTTGATGCCTACAATATCACAGGTCATACAGATTGGTATATGTGCCCGGAGGAACAGTTCCATGCTTCTTTTTTTTTGTTGTTGTTGGTCGTAGGACTTGAACTTGGGCCTGGGTGCTGTCCCTAAGCTCTTCAGCTCAAGGCTAGCACTCTATACCACTTGAGCCACAGTGCCACTTCCAGTTTTCTAGTGGTTTAATGGAGATAAGAGTCTCACGGAATTTCCTGCCTCGGCTGGCTTTGAACAGTGATACTCAGATCTCAGTCTCCTGAGTAGTTAGGATTATAGGTGTGAGCCACCAGCGCCCGGCTCCATGCTTTCTAAAAGATCTAGAAAACAGACATTGGGTGCCTCTTGTGCTCATCATTTTGGTGATAGTAGTTCTGGCTAAAAGACACTCCATAGCTTTTGAAACTAGATGAGAAAAAAAAAAACAGTGCCAAACTAGGTTCTAGTTTGTGGGACAAAGAGAGAATAGACTATTGAATGTAAGAAGATAAACATCAGCTGGGTGTCAATGGCTCACACCTGTAATCCTAGCTACTCAGGAGGCTGAGATCTGAGAATTGCGGTTGGAAGTCACACCCGGCAGGAAAGTCTATGAGACTCTCATCTCCAATGAATCACCAAAAAGCCAGAAGTGGAGCCACAGTTCAAGTGGTACAGTGCTAGCCTTGAGCTAAAAAGCTTAGGGATAGTGCCCAGGTCCTGAGTTAAAGCCCCACAGCAGGCACCAAAAAGAAGAAAAGGAAGGGGAGGAAGGAAAAGAGAAAAAAGGCGGGGGAGAAGGCAGAAGAGGAAAAAGAAGAGGAAGAGGGGGTGGTGAAGGAGGAGGTGGACAAACACTGAGAGAACTAGAAATAGCAGTTGAAGCCCTAGAGTAAATAAAATGGCTTCCCCAAGAAGGAAGGGTACAGGGCAGCCACACTAGAAGTCTGAACACTGGGCTTTGAGTATATAATAGGTTAAAACAGAAAATTAACAGGAATAGGAAGACACAGGAGAAACTTGTATAATGAAATGCTCCAATCATTATTTAAAAAATGAGTTTCAAGAAGAGTGAATGGTTAAAGAATAGCTAAGGCTACAAGGAAAATAAAGACCAAAAGAGACTATATTTGCTGGGCGCTGCTAGATCACACATCATATAATCCTAATTACACAGCAGGCCGAGATCAGAGTCCCAGAGGAGGAAGCAAGCTTCCCAAAGGAGAGAATGTGGGACCCATCAGTCATGTTGTAGAAGGAGATGATGCCTTCACCACTGTAGCCCAGGAAAATCGCCCCCTGCAGGCATTCTGCCTAAGGGCTCAGGGAATCCAGCATTTAGTACAGGCATAATGCGTATTCTCAAACTGCCTCACAACTCCAAACCCCTTTTTGAGGAGCGCTCAAACCATCCCTTCCTTTCCATATCTCCCCTGCACACACCCCCCACCCCTCCCCAACACACATTCACTGCTATTCCCATTCTTAATTTCTACCTCCCAGTAGAAGCTTCTGGACTTGATGCCCTCAAGTCCCAGCACACTGAGCCCAGGCCCATGTCCAGCTAGGTCAACCTCATCCTTTTAAGAGTCACCAATCATATCAAGTCCTCTGCTCCTAAACAACCACCTCCAAGTAATTAGACACCCTTGGAGATAACACTTGTGATTCAAGCCAATGAACTCCAAGCAGGAGAAGGTGCCACAGAGCTTATTTGGGGGTTAGACAGGACTGAATGCCATATGTTTCCATTATTGCTCAGAATAAGAAGAACTGACCTTATCTTCTTTGAGTGCATCGCACGGTGACCAACCCAGTTTGTAGAAGGCACCTCTTCCACCGGCCCCCAACTCCCTTGAAGGTATTCCATGTCATCACAGAGAATTCGAGAGACCAGTGTCCATGGGGAAAGCAAAGCATACCCAGAAAGAACTTCAAGTCACTCAGATGACTGGCTTGGCTCCTCCCACCAGAGTACAAGAAAGGACATTTCCTGCTGGCCACTGATGGCTCACGCCTGTCATCCTAGCTACTCAGGTGGCTGAGACTTGAGGATCGCAGTTCAAAGCCAGCCCGGGCAGGAAAGTCCATGAGAGTCTTATCTCCAATAAACCACTCAGAAAACCAGAAGTGGAGCTGTGGCTCAAATGGTAGAGTGCCAGACTTGAGCTGAAGAGCTGAGGGACAGCGCCCAGGCTGAGAGTTCAAGCCTCACAACCTATAAGGCCACACATGAGGGTCAGCATGCAGTCTTCTGAAACACAGCCATGTGACAGTGAGGAGGAAAGCGTGTGTGAAAACACTGAGCTAGTATATTTATTTCTTGAACTCTCTCTCTCTCTCTCTCTCTCTCTCTCTCTCTCTCTCTCTCTCACACACACACACACACACACACACACACACACACACACACACACACACACACCTGCACCCTTTTCCAATAAAATTTAACATGAGCCTGGTGCTGATTGCTCATGCCTGTCATCCTAGCTACTCAGTCGGGGTAGCTCAAGCAGGGAAGTCTATGAGACACTTATCTCCAATTACCCACCCCAGAAAACCAGAAGTGAAGCGGTGGCTCAAAGTGGCAGAGTGCTAGCCTTGAACAACAAAACTCAGGGATAGTGC